ACCTTGCAGTGTGTTAATTTATTTCCTTATGAAAGTCATTGTAAGAAAAACACGATACTGAGATGAGAATAATTTTCTTTTTGAAGCTATTTAACATTTTAATAGTATGAAGCTGAATAAATTGTTTAAAACACAAGAAAACCTCACAAGCTAGCTAAATGAAACATTAAAAACTCGCTAATAATTTCAAATATCTGTCAGATAGACTGTTATGTTTAGAAAGTTTAAAATTTCTTTTTTTGCTGAAAAATTATCATTGAAATGTTTCTATATGGTTTATTTGGTTAATAGCTATTTAATCTATTTGTAATAATTAAATAAAAACCCTCGTTTTTGATTAAAAGAAATGAGACATTGTGATTCAAACATTTATTGTTTTATATACATTCAGATGTTTTCACTTTGAAAAGTGTGCATATATTAGAAATATCAATTATTTGAAAGTATGTTAATTAAATGCCACCAAATGACAGATATAAAACTGTATTGGTTAACTAGTAAAGTGTGAAAGGTTTTGCTTCAACTAATTTTTTGACAATCAGTCTGGGTAGAAAAGTTTTGACTCCTTTAAACAAACCACTAAAATATTAGGAATAGATTACATGTACTGAAGAGAGAATGATAATTTGATATATTAGTAGCAATTGAAAAGATAAAAAAAGTTTGTGATATTGTACAAACTATTATACTGCATTATTACACAAATATTTACTTTTAAAAACTTGAAATGACAAGAAAAATTTAATTGGAAATTGTTTTGAAGAATGATTGGTTTATTTAATGTGAAAAAATATTTTTATCCATAATTATCAGCTTCTGAAATGCTGCTACTCTGAAGAACACCATAGATATCTATACAGTTATTACAAATTATATTTCTTTGTGTTTAATAGTAAATTCATTTTTTTTTGTAAAATAACATGAATTAAAAGATTAAACCTATTGTCTGTTTTACTGTCATATAAAATAGCTTTCACCAGATGCAAATATTCAGTTTTCTTCACATAATTATAATAGGACAAGTATTAATCTTGTAATAATAATTCAGGTTTTGCCAATGAATAAGTATTACAGAGTTCTTGATTGATTACAGAAAAAATGCCACTTAAGTAGCCAAGCTCAGTTGTAAAGATATTTGAATCAAATGGTTAATATTATCACAAAGTTTTTAATAACATTTATATTTCAGTGAATAAAGTATGATATTGTTGACCCCAATTTGACAACTGACTGATTATTAATGTATCTCACTTTTGATCAAATGAATAGGATATTTTTTATTCTTGAATGTTTAGATTCTGTGAGAATCATTCTGTTGAGTTAATACATTTATCCCATGATGCACTTTGATGGTCTGAATCACATGTTTTGTTTATTATGAAAGGACTTCACCCTGTTTGATATATTTTGAGTTATAGGTATTGCCAATCCCGAGTTACTTTAAGTTTTTACAAATACATGTGTACTATCAAGTACTTTGTGATTAAGTGTGCAGACATAACCTTGTTTGTATTTATAGTTAAATATTCAAATCTCCTAACTCCATGCAAAAAAGTAAAGTTATCTAAAAATCTGCCAACCTCTAGAAACATCAAAGACCCCACCGAGTGGCACAGCGGTATGTCTGCCGACATACAACGCTAGAAACCGGGTTTCGATACCCGTGGTGGGCAGAGCACAGATAGCCCATTGTGTAGCTTTGTGCTTAACTACAAAACAAACAAACAAACTACAACTAAACATCAAAGAATTCATGCAAGCTTTTGTTTGTTCATTAATATTGGCTATAGTTGGTAGAGCACAGTTAGTCCATTGTGTAGCTTTCTGTTTACAAAAAACAAAATGCTTATTGTGGACCTTAAGTAGTGAAGTTTTAATTTTCAAAAAGCTCCTTTCCAAAGATGTGATAGTTAACAGTATCCCTAAAGATGCACATTTGGAGACATTGCCCATCTTCTGGTTAAGAACTGTTTTGATTAACTTGATGCTGAGAGGTTCTAGCATTCTAAGGTGGAATTCTTCCCAGTAATGGAGAATGACGAGGAAAACTTTAGACTGTAGTTGTTGTTCTATGGTGTTGTAGGTTTTAGTGTTACAGTGTCCTGTAATTGATTACATATTCCACATCATAATATAACACTTTAGACTGTAGTTGATAGTACTATGGTGTTGTAGGCTTTAGTGTTACAGTGTCCTGTAATTGATTACATATTCCACATCATATTATAACACTGTAGACTGTATTTGATAGTACTATGGTGTTGTAGGCTTTTAGTGTTACAGTG